TCTAATTCTCTTGTGGTTGTAGAATATACTTTGCATGAATTAAATCCTTTCATATATATATATATACATTCATAAATATAAATATCACTCTTAACATGCATGTGGACCATTACCCATTATACCATATGTTAGGACATAAAACAAGCCTCAATAAATTTAAAAGATTTAGTTCACTGAACTGTGATCACTTCAGCACATATTTACCTGTTTTAATCTTTTTAAAGTCATGTTGCTCTGTAAAGAAAATATAGTTTCTTTCAATTCCCACATAGATTGGGAAGGGTCATGATAAGGATTATTTATTTTTTACAAAGTCAGGTATCAATAATGACCTGGAGGATATCCTCAGTCTTAAACTGGATGGTAAAACTAGATACATTTCTGGAACCTGATGACTGTCCTGTTTTCATCCTATTTGTACTTGTCTTTGTCATCTTCACAAGCCTTGCTACTTTTGTCAGCTGTCTTGTTTGTGTGTTGTGTTCAGTTCCTTGCTCCAGGCATGGTCGTAGGTGCTGGTAAGAGAGTGATGGATATAACAGGCATAGCATTCACCCCACCAAGCTCACAGTCTTGGGAGGAAGGGGAACATTGGATGCCTTACAAACAAGTTGTTGACAGCCTTGGCGTGCATTGTGAAGAAAGGTACAGGGACTGAGAAAGAAAACCACAGGGACGTGAACATGGCCTGGAGGGTGGTGTGAAATCAGTGGATATGCAGGGGTGAACACTCAGGCTTTCATACATAATAACATGCTCAGAGGTATGTAATCAGGTTGCATTTTTCTTTGCATTGTGTAGATAAATATAGTGGGTTGGAACCTTTAAAATACCACATTAAAATCTATTCTCATTCTTCAGGTGAATAAACTTTTGTAGAACTTCTCAGTAAAAACTGCAACTAGTGATGGAATTCTGCCATCAGCTGGGAAGAAGCCTGTGGTTACAGTAAGAGTTCAGAGAAAGGGAGTGAGGCGACCCCGTCAGGGAGCCTTTTTTGGATACAGGACTCCCCTGGGTTCTGTGGGCGCCCAGATGCACACTGATGAGTGCTGTGAACTGCAGCGAGGGCTGCAGGCTCAGCACCCATTTCAGTTAATTAGAATCCCTGAAGAGGCCCCCTCAGGTCCAGATTTAAAGAATAAGTTTTCCTATTCTTGGGCCTGAGCTGTCAGAACAACAGCATCTAGCGGGTAGAGGGCAGAAGCTTGTTGAGGGGCAGCAGGGAGGCCTGACTTGGACTCTGAGTTCCAGTGAAAAGCAAAAAGGGTGCTGGGAGATGTTGGGGTGTTTGCCACATTGCCTTTCTAATTACGGTTTTCCTTCTGGCTTTTCCTTGAATTGTACTGGGGGTGGGGGAACCTGTGTTCAGAAGGGCAAGTTGTCAGGCTCACTAGAGAAGACAGCCCATGGTAACGGCAGTGGAGTGTTTCCACCGGGAGTGTCCGAGTGAAGGGGAAGGTCTTCCATCTGTACACTGCAGTCTCAGAGAGCAGATGTCCCTCTGTGTCCTGGAATGTGTTTTTATCAGTTAACTGGCAGCACTTTGATTCACCTCACTGCACAAGATCATCAGACTACAGAGGCCTGGGAAGCTCAGGGGTCATCTGGTCATCATGAGTTTGACTATATGGCTCTAAAGCGAGCCATTTGCACAAGGAGACTGAGTCTTCATGAGAATCAACACTTACCTGCTGCGTGCCGGGTGTATGTTCTTGTCTGTGTTTGTGAGCATGCAGTGAAGAACAAGCTGTGGAAACTGACAGTTATCCTCAGCAAGTGCTTGTGCACACTGTGTTCTCAGTCTCGTTTAGAGTATTATTATCTCCATTTTGTATGTAAGGAAACAGGCTCAGCGCTGTTAAGTGGTGGGGTGAGGATTCAACCTCAGGACTGCCTGACTTCCAAGCCTTTGCCCTTTTCCTGTGCATCATATTGCACTCTTATTGTATGAAGATGTTTGAAACATAGAGCATGAGCAGGTTTTAAAACTTCCCACAGGAGATGAGACCGATTTGTGTCCCCTGGCAGCCTTGGCATCTACTGGTGCTCTCTGCATCTGGGCCCCACTGGGATGTGCCTCACAACACGATGAGGACTGGGCTGTCCTCTGGGGACTCCGACCCTCCCATCTGCTCCAGAATCTTCTGCCCTGTGCGGCCTTAGCACAGCCACATTATTCAACCCCAGGAGAAGCAGATCTGAGCTTCCAAATCTACTCTGCTCATTGGGCTGTGGTGTGCCCATGGGCACACCCACCCACGGGGATGTGCACACACCCTGTCACGTATACTTGCATGTTCTCAGCACTTCCCAGCAAGAAATGTTTTATTAAGATGTGCAGAAGTGGCAGGATATGCTGAAGGAAATATCACGGTTTCTCAAAAGTGTTAGTTGACATGATGGCACCTTGACCTGTTCTCCCAGAATGATACCCTGTCAGACCCAGTGAGTGGTATCCTGGGCTCCTTCAGCCTCTGGGCCCTGGCCTGATCCTGAACAGGGGCTGCCTGACAGGCAGAGCCATTTCAGTGGGAGATTGGGGTCCTCTGGATTTCTCAGCTTCCCAAGCCCGACCGCAGATAGCTCAGGACCCTCCCCTTCCCTGGGCCAGCGCCTGCGAGAGGCAGGGCCCACATTGGTCTTGTCAGCTGGTGTCTCTGCTTCAGTACTTTGGGTCAGTTTATAAACTTATGTAATATGTTCCCAATTCCAAAATGGGAATACTGGAAGTTCTTGAGGATTAACTGAGATAATTAAGCTGATATGCTGCATACTTGGTAAGTAATTGTAGTTGTGGTTAACTCCAAATTCAAGCAATAGTAAGCTCTTACTGTACTCTCTAGCTCAGTGACAACCTTAGAGAATGGTTCCCAAGGGAATAGCTGGTGATTCTTAACCAGCTCTTGCCATTTTCACCTTCTTGCCCCTTATATTTTCCTTCTTTTCCTTCTCTATCACTTCTTCCTTCAGATGTCCTGGTAGCTACCCTCTCTCCCCATAGGATCATTGAATAGCAGGATATTGTGGGATCAGGATTTTGATAGGGATTACAATGAATCTGTGGATTGTTTGGGTAGTATGGACATCATTATCAATAACAAGACTTTCAGTCCATGTACATGAGTTGTCTATTTGTATTTATTTTTTTCAGTAACATTTTATAGTTTTCAGTGTATACGTCTTTTGTCTCCTTGGCTAAGTTTATTCCCAAGTATTTAATTCTTTTGATGCCATTGTAAATGTAATTTTTAAAAAATTTCCTTTTCATATTGTTCATAGGTAGATTGTTCATTGTAAGAAACACAACTGAGTTTTGTGTGTTCATTGTCCTATAGCTTTGCTGAATTCATTTATTTGTGCTAACAGTTTTGGTGGGGGGTGGGACAGACTCTTTAGAGTTTTGTACATATAATGTCATCTGCAAACAAGTAATTTTACTACTTCCTTTTCAATGTGGATGCTTTTTACTTCTTTTTTCTTGCCTAATTGCTCTGGCTAGGACTTCCAGTGGTAGGTTGAATAGAAGTGGAGTGAGTGGGCACTTTTATTTTTTTTTGCTCTTACAAGAAAAGCTTTCCATTTTTTACTGTTGAGTATGATGTTAGCTATGGACTTTTCATATGTGGCCCTTATCATGTTGAGGTAGTTTCCCTTCTATTCCTAGTCTTTTTTAGTGTTTTTCTCATGAAAGGGTGTTGAATTTTTGTCAAGTGGTTTTTCTGCATCAATTGAGATTGGGATTTTTTTTGTTCATTTTGTTGACCAGGCATTTTTATGAAACCAAATTATATAGAAATTGAGAGGTGAAGCTGATGAAGCTTTGTTAACCTTTTAGGGAACTGGCTTATTGGAAGATGGACATTTTGACATTAATATTAGAGGAGACCTAAATAGTAGGTCCAACTCTGGCAAAGACCCACGACTCCTTTCCCCTGTTAAATATTTTCTTTGTATTTCTCCCATAATTTCCCATTATGTGTTGTGCACAAGTGGTAAATATTAATTGGTTAATGAACTATTTGAACCTCCTTTTAAGTGTGAGGATTCATACTGCTAGTAAGAAATACCCTTTCAAATAAGTGGCGAGTCAGTCGGAGTGGGGTAGAGAGCACTGTTACAGTCAGCTATGGAAATCAGGGTTACAGCTCAGTATTCTGCAGCAGGAACATTGACAAGTAGTCATTTATTTTATTTCCATGAGGAGTCTGAGATTTTTTAGTTAGGAAGAATGAAATGTTAATAATCCAAGTCTGGATGAAATGTTAATAATACCTGGGATGATTTGCTTTGAAATAACCTTGTGGGAATGAGAGAGGGGAAGGGGGAAAATGAAACATGAGTGATTAAGTTATTATATATCCTTTGTACTTTTGTATCTGTTTGGATATTTTCATAATAAAAAGTTCAGAAAAGAAAATGTAAATAAATGATGGTGCAGTTATATACTGAAATATTATGAAGCCATTATAATAACACTTATGAAGAATTTTAATGATGTGGTATAAGCAAGAAAACAAGAAGTCAACTTTCTAATATGATGTATGTATACTTGCACACTCAAATATTTGTACAGAAAAAATATTTGAAGGAAATAATTACCCATGGTTATCCTCAGTTGGTGGGATTATGGGCAATTTTCTTTCTCTGTATCTTCCAAACTTTCTACAGTGAGCAAGAGGAAAACATAATCTCTGAAAAACTTTTTGAAAGAAAGGAACCAAATCTTTTTTAGTGTAAATTGATGAAGCATTTGCTCCAATTATCTACTTTCCATTAAATTGCTCTGGTCAGTGATTAGATAAATGCCTGTGTGGTTACTAATCTTGAGCTGTGGACATGTTTTCAGCCGGTATGTCCCTGTTCTCTGCCCTGGAATCTTGTCTTTGCTTGGGTGTGTGCAGGTGAGGTCATGGGCAAAAAGCAGTCGCCACCACCAGTTCCCTCATTAACTTCTGTTAGACATGTTCCTTTTAACATGAATTTCCATCTGATTTTAGTGAGCTGGACATGATTTCCACGAGGGTGATGGACATTAAGCTTCGAGAAGCTGCAGAAGGCCTTGGGGAGGACAGCACAGGTAAGGCCCTCACTCCCCGGCTCTGGAAGAGCCTTCGTTGGGTTGCAGAGCATGGAGAGGGGCTGATGGAGCCAGGCCTTTGTGTGGAGAGTGGAAGTTCAGTCCACAGTGTGTTTAGACACCCCAAGTTCTCTCACACTGACTGGAGAGCACATCCAGATTATTGAAGGCCAGATTATCAGGGCAGTGCCCAGAGCATCTTTGCTTCTCTGTCCATCACAGGGGATTTTAAAGTCATTTTCCTCATTCCGTGAGGTAACATGGTCCCGTGTTTAGCTGACTTGAAAGCAAAGCAAGAATGATGCAATGCAATCATTTATCTTCTAAGAACATCCAAAGGATCAGTAAGAGGTTGGGCAAAGAATAAGATGGCTTGCTCTTTCAAAAGAAATAATTTTATCAAAAGAGAGCCTTTGATCCCTCCCTTTTATGGCTTTTATTCAACTTCAGGAGACCTTTATTACACCTTTTACAGAGCTAAATTCTAGGCCCATGATTGATCATCTCATTATATATTTTAAGAGTTACCCAATTATGTGACTGATTCACTGTTATCAATAGATTGCTCTTTATGTCTTCATAGAGATGTAAAATAACATTAAGAAAACACTGATTTTCCCACAATGCACCTTTCCCATAGGTTAGGTATTTATACTCACCTTATTTCAGTAATAAAGGTCTCCATCTCTCTTGTTTAAAATCAAAATGCCAGGAATGATTTTCTTTGATATAATTCAGGGGGAACAGCTTCTAATAATATTAAATCCTAGCTGCTTACCCTTATCTTCAGATAACTTATTTCATTGAAGACTATTTCATGTATTATAGATAGATTTTTCTTATTATTCCATATCAGAACTACTGTTCCTCTATCACATTTCAATAGATAACAGATAAACTCAAATATAAGATGAGATTTAAAAAATTCACCCCTGAGAGAAGACAGTGCAGCATGGAGAAGACAGTGACTCTATAACATCTTACTACGCTGACAGACAGTGACTGCAACAGAGGGGGTGAGGGCTTGATAATATGAGTAAATGTTGAAACCACTGTGTTGTTTATGTGAAACCATCATAAGATTGTATATCAATGATACTTTAATAATAAAAAAGACAATATAGGTAATATAATGTGTTTATGTAAAAAAAATTTTTAACTATATAAATGCTTGGAAAATATTTGGAAAGATACAGACCAAAGGGTTATTAACCTGGTCAGCCACAGGGAAAGGAATGGGATGGGATGGGGGAACAGATAAAAGAAACTTCTTTCTTCCAGAAATTTATTTGAATTGTTACAGTTAGCATGTATATATGTAAAATTTTATAATTTTTAAAATTACTTTAAAACTTTTAAAAATTGCTCAATAAATAATTTCTAAATTAAAAAGAAAAATTAACCCTGAGAGAACAAATGGAATTTCAAAATTTCACATATTATGGGACACTAAATTATTACTGATTTGAAGCAAGAAGATACCATCTGAAGAATTGTTTCATTAGTCTGAGGCAGTATATGTTTCATCAGTGCTAGTTTTGGGTATTTCCAGAGTCACTATGAAGAATCAATCTTTAAAAAGAAAAAGAGAAACTAAGTATCTTTTTTCCAAGCAATAGTGAGCTAAGTTATTGAGAGCAGTCCATTCCCATTTAAAATTGAAAATTCTAGATGAGAACATTCTTAAAAAATATTTTAAAAAGTAAGAAATAAGGCCAGAATTGAAAGAAAAATGGTAACCCAGAGAGGAAGTGAGTATAGAAGTCACTTTTAGCCTTCAGATCATTTGCCAATCTTGGAACTTTTTAATTTCATTTTTACATCTTCATGGGGTAGGAGGTGGGGAGAGGGTCAGATATCAATACAGGCCTATACAAAGTGGACTGTCTAATGGAAGACCCTCCTTACAATAAGCTGGCAGACCAAGGACCAGCAAAATCTGAGTTACGTGTGAACCAGACATAAATCAACCCTTTGTAGATCTGTAGTTTAAGTTTGCATTGCTTGGATCATTCAGAGAATCTCAACCCTTGAACATGCCTCGTAGTATTCCTAGAAGGGATGTGACCCAGGCACCTTGTAGAAGCAAACAGTGTTCTCTAAAGCAAGGTACCTTCTATCTCAACTTCAAATTATACAGAAAATGATATTTTCAGGTATGTAATAAATATACAGCCAGTGATAACCAGACAGATAAGGTAACAGGGCACATGAATGAAACCCAATGTTATGGGCTGCCCTGTGTTGCCCAAAATTCACATGTTGAAGTCCTAACACATAGTACCTGAGAATATGACCTTATTTGGAAATTGGGTCCTGTAGATGTAATTAATTAAGAGGAGCTCATGATGGAGTTTCACAGGCCCCTAATCTAATGTGAGTAATGTCCTTATGAAAGGGGGAAATGTGAATGCAGACACGCACTGAGGGAGAACACCCATAATGAAGACCAAGTCAGAGATCAGGATGATGCATCTCTAAGCCAAGGGATGCCAAAGGTTGCCAGAAAATCACCAGAAGTTAGGGAAAAGGCATGGAATAGATGTGTCCATCACAGCTCTTTGAAAATTTTGGATTTTTAGCCTCTAGAACTGTGAGACAATATAATTCTATTTAATCCACTTAGTTTGTGGTACTTTGTTATGCAGCCAAGCAAACTAATACACAGCAGAAACAAGAGAAATGGACATGTCCAAATAGGCATCAAATGTCAGAATTATCAAATATATACTTTGAAACAACCATGCATATACTATGGTGGAAGATTTAATAAAAGTTTGAAAATGTCTGGAAGGAGCAGGGTACTATAAAAAGTGGCATAACACCCAGCCAGTGCTATAAGCTAGAGAAAGAAATAAAAGGGATACAGAAATAAAACTGTCTCTGTTTTTATATGACATGATTATACAAAATATGAAAAAAGTACCTAGAACTCTTTAAGTTTAGCAAGATTGTGAAAGACAACATCAATATACAAGTATTTGTATATAATGCAATGAACAATTGAAAAATGGAATTTAAAAAGGTACCATTTGTAATAGCACTAAGAAAAGAAATACTTAGGTATATATCTAACCAAATATATGCAGGATCTTTATACTGAAAATAAAAAATATTGTTTAAAGAAATCAACAAAGACTTAAATACATGTAGTGATGGTATTTAGGGTCATAAATTAGGTCATGTGGGTAAGAACTCTCATGAATGGAATTAGTGCCCTTATGAGAAGAAGCCAGGGAACTACTTGCTCTCTTTCTGCACATGAGGACACAATGACCAGTTAACAGTGAGTATCCTGTGAGAGAGTCCTCAATAGTACCCCACCATGCTAGTACCCTGATCTCAACCCTCCAGTCTCCAGAACAGTGAGAAATAAATTTCTGTTATGTGTAAGCCACCCAGTGTACAGTACTTTATTATAGCAGCCTGAATGGACTAAGATTATGTTTACAGACTGGAAGAGTCAGTGTTGCTTAAAAGTCATTTCTCCCCAAATTGAGCCACAGAATAGCTAGCAGGAGTACACTACACAGTTTACAAGTCAGCTGTGAAAAGCAGGGACACAGTTAGTTCAATATTCTGTAGCAAGAACATTGATCAGTAATCAGTTATTTGATTTCCATGAAGGGTCAGAGGTTTTGTTTAGGAAGAAGCCAAATCCATATAGATGAAATGATAACTATATCTGGAATGATTTGCTTTGAAAGGGAGGAGGAGTGTAGGGGTGAAGATGAAACAATCAATCTCACAGGATATTTTTCCAATATTGACATGCTGATTCTAAAATTTACATGAAAAAGCAAAAGAACTTAGCATAGTGAAAACAGCTGAAAAAGAACAGTTGGAAGACTCGTACTACCTGATTTCAAGACTTACTGTAAAGCTATAATAATTAAGCCAGTGTGGTTATCACCAAAAGGATAGATGCATAGAGATAGAACAGAATAGAGTCCAAAAACAAACCCATATGGTCAATTGATTTTTGACAAAGATGCAATTGTAATTCAATTAAGAAAAGATTGTCTTTCCAAAAAATGGTGGTGCTAGAAAAAATTGGACATTCATATGTTAAAAAAGTGAACTTTGACATACACCTCACAGATTATACAAAAATTAAAATATATGACAGGCATAAATGTAACACTATAAAACCTTTAAAAGAAAGTATAGGTGAAATTATTTATGACCTTGGATTAGATAAGAGTTCTTAGATACAACACCTCAATCCCTAAAAGAAAAATTTGCTAAATTAAACTTCATCAAAGTTTAAAATTTTTGCTTTGTGAAAAGACACTATTAAGAAAATGAAAAGACAAGATATAGACTGGGAGAAAATATTTATAAGTCATACTTGACAAGGGACTTGCACTTAGAATTCTCAAAATTAAACAGTAAGAAAACAAACCACCCAAATAAAATATAGGCAAAAGACTTTTAAAGAAGCTTTACCTAAGAAGATGTGCAGAAATAAGCACATGAAAAGGTGCTCAATATCTGTAGACATCATTACAAATTAACACAACAATGAGATATAAACACTTCTTATAAAAAGTTATAGACACTTGTTAGAATGGCAAAACAAAAACACACTTGAAAATTACAAGGGCTGGTGAGGCTACAGGGCCACTGGAACTCTCATATTGCTGATGAGAATGCAAAATGGTACAGCTACCTCGAAAAATATTTTAGCGGTTTCTTATTAAACATACACTCCTGCAATTCCATGCCTAAGCATTTACCTCAGGGAACTGGGAACTTATGTTTACACAGAAGCCTGTAGCAACTTTTTTCATGATTGCCAAAAACTGAAAAGGACACAGATGTCTTTGAACAGGTCCATGGTTAAATAATGTCTGTCCAGTCAGCAGCAATAAGGAGCAAACTATTGATCAAAACAGTAACACGGATGAATCTCTAATGCACTGTGCTGAGTGAAAGAAGCCAGAATCAAGAGGATACATGCTGTATGAATATATCTGCATGACATTTTAGAGAAGAAAAAACTATAGAAACAGAGAACATATTGGTGGTTTCCAGGGGCTACCTAGGGGAGGGGCTTGGCTACAAGAGGGAAGCGTTGGTACAGTCCCGTACCTTGGTTTTGGTGGTGTTTATACAACTCTATGAAAATCAAAAAGAATAAACTTTACTGTTTGTAATTTTAAGAATGTTTTTAAAATGATATGCCATATTTGAAAAATGATCAAATGGATTTTCTAGAAATAAGCATAACTACTACACTTGAAAATTCAGTGGATGAGTTTAACAGCAGATTATATCTGCTCAAGATAGATCACAAGAAAGTATACAGAATGTAATATAGAATGGTAAAAGGATGGAAAATACAAAAGAGAGAGGACAAGAAGCATAGAGATCAGGGGAAGGGCATAGCATACATGTGAGCACAGCCTGAGGAGAGGAGAGCTGACATTTGCTGGAATTGATTAAAAAAAAGAAAAGATTACCCATTCATGGGTTTAAGAAACCCAGTGAATCCCAAGAAGGATAAATAAAAGGAAATCCTTAGAGACTGTAAATGTAGAAAACCTGAGACAAAATGAAAAATCTTAAAATAATGCTGAGAAAAAGACAGATTACCTTCAAAGGAGCAAAAAACTGATGGCTGAACTTCTCAGCCACACCATAGAAGCCACAAAACCGTGAAATAATGTCTTCGATATTGAAACAGTAACTTAGAAAAACTGACTGCCAACCTAGAATGTTATACCTAAGAAAAATACCTAAGAAAAGAATGTTATACCTAAGAAAAACCGTGAAATAATGTCTTCGATATTGAAACAGTAACTTAGAAAAACTGACTGCCAACCTAGAATGTTATACCTAAGAAAATGTCAGAAATGAAGGAGAAATAAATGCATTTTCAGATAAACAGAAACTGAATTTGTCACCAGTAGACTCACACTAAAGCAGATTCTAGGGGAAATCTGCCTTCCGGCAGAAGGAAGACCCTCCTAGCTGGAAGGTCCAGAACACAAGAAGGAATGAAGAGCAAAGAGAATGAGAAACAAGTGGATACATCTAAATGAATGTGGAATTGTATCTTCTGGGCTTTTTAAAGATCAGAATGAAAACACTAGTGCATAAAAATAGTATTGAAGTGTTCTAAATTCCTTGTTCTGTCCCATAATAGAATAGGTAGTATACTTTCTAGGGTAGTCACTGGAAGAACAGAGATTCAAGACCATGCTCATAAACTAGTAGTGAGAAAATAAGGCATAATTTTAAAAAGTCAGTTAATCCAAGACATGGCAAGAAAGGAGATTAAGAAAAAGCATATAAAATAGCAGACTTGTCCTTATTAACATACCGTTAGTACAGTAAATGCAAGTAGGCTAATTACATTAATTGTTCAGTGAGAAGTTAAAGACCATCAGACTGAATTTCTAAAACTAAATCTTAAGTGTAAGGATTCAGAAAAGTTTAAAAGAATAGAGGAGAGACAGAAAGACAGGACACGTCTATGAGAGAAAGGCACTGGTAAAAAAGAAAGAGAGAGAGAAAGCAAGCAAGCAGGAAGAATGGAAAGAGAGGCTAGGAAAACATGGACCTTGCCAACACTGAGCAAAAGGGAGCTGGTATAGCTGTGTTAATAGCTGTCAAGATAAAATTTAAGGCAAAAAGCGTTACTAAAAATAAAGAGGGCCATTGCACAAAAGGTTCAATTCCACAGCAAGATAACAATTGTACCTTACTATGCACCATCATAATGTCAAAAGTTATAGAGTAGAAATTGACAGGTAAATAGAATCTGCAGTCAGTGAGTTCTTTTTAATACATCTCTATCAGTGATTGATTGAACAAATGTCTTTAAATATTAGTAAAGATACAAAGTGTTTGGATGACACAATTAAAAAGAAAAAGGCCTTGCTTGTCCTATTTGATGTCCTAATTATAGGACGTTAAAGAAAATACATTATTTTCAAGCACACTAGGAACAGTCACAGATTTTTGGTAAGCCATAAAGCAGGTCTCAACAAACCTGAATAGATACAAATCATACAGAGTATATTCTCTGACCACAGTGCCCTTCAGCTGGAAATCAATTACAGAAAGATAAGAAAATCCCCAAGTGCTTGGGAACTAAGACATACTTTTCTAAATAACCAATAGGTCTAAGAAGATACTATAATGGAAATTAGAAAATATTTTTGACCAAACAGTAATGAAAATACTATGTGTCAAAACATGTAATGCAGCTAAAATAGGGAAATTTATTGTCTTAAACGTGTATATTATAAAAACAAAAATCCTGAAAGTTAATAAGCTAAACAAGTATGCATCTCAAGAAGTTTAACAAGATAACAAAGTAAACCTGAAGAAAATGAAAGGAAGGAAAGAATAAAGATAAGAACAGAAATAAATACCTTGAAAAATAAACATTACGGTAGAGAGAATAAGGCAAAACTGGCCTCAGATGCAATAGATCAGGGAAAAAAGAGGAGGCACAAAGAATTCACATCAGGGCTGAGAAAGGGGGCTTTTATTACAGATAGTGTGGGTGCTGAAATCAGAGGATATTAGTATATGCCAGTAAACTTGAAAATTTGGAAAAAAGAGACAAAGTCCCAGAAAAACATAACAGGTTTAAGAGGTATAAAACCTAAGTAGTTCCTGTAAATAGTTCCTGTAACCATTAAATAAATTGAATTTTAAAGTCTAGCAGGTGAAAAAACATAACCCTAACAGGCCCCCAGGGGAGGCTGGCTCACCACTGAAGCCAATCAGAAGTGCTGGGAGGCTCAATTCCGGGTGTTTGTAGCCACGCCCTTCAACCTGAAGCAGTGACTTGGGTAGTGAGGCTGCGTGTTTGTGCAGACCTTCAGGCTTGTGTACATGTTTGTCAACTAGGCAAAGGCCAGATGGTGTCCTGGCAAATGCAGAAAACTCCTAAGGCTCTCTCAAAATAATAAACACTCCTTGAGAATGATCAGTTAACGACATAAACATTTTGTGATTATAAAGGTGAGGAGCCTTCCACTCAAAGTTAAGAAAACTTGACTGTAAAACTGATTTCCCTTTGGGCAGGGATTGGCCCCACCTAAGGTAATGTAGGAACTCCAACTAGAGTAATCCTATATAGTTCTCCACATTAAGGCAAGATCATATAAACTTCCCAAGGGGGTATTAATATAATCAAAATGTAAGGATCCTGTTGTTTTTTTAAAAAAGGAATTTGGCTTACAAAATTATTTGTAAAACTAACAAATCATTTTAGCAAATTTTCAGGATATATTAGCATCCTAACAATTTATGATGTTGCATCCTTCTATTATTAGTTTTCATGAAAATTTGGAAGAAAGGAATGAACAAACTTTGCTGGGCTGTTTGTGTGAAATCACGAGATCCTGCATATGACAGAATTTGTAGGTGAAGATGAAGGAGGCAGAGAAGAGATCACAAAATGTTTAAAGGAAGCATGGCAGAATCAAGCTCAGTGCTGTCCCCACCATTTGGTGGGTTTTCTCACTGAAAGTCCATCAAGGCGCTGGGCAGTCCAGCCAGTGCCTTTTGCCCATGAGGCTGGGACTCCCCTGATTGTCTTTGGTGCTCATGTCCATACTAAATGAAGCACTTGAGGATTATTTTGAAAAATAATTTGAGTTATCACATGGCCTTTACTGCATTAGGACTGTTGACTTTTTTGCTTTTGACTACATATATCTTAAGGATTAGAACTTGATCTCATTTATACAACGGAATGTTACTCATCAGTTTAAGAAAAGAAAAGCAACACATACTTATGCATGCATCATCATGCAAAATCACACAAAATCTCAAAGGCAGTATATGGAATGAAAGAAGCCAGAAGCAAGAATATATACTGTATGAATCCACTCATACAGTATGTGCTGTTTGAATTCAAGGCTTGGCAAAACAAATGTGTGGTAATAAAAATAAGAGTGGTTACATCAAAAACAATAAACTATTTTACCCAGGAAGTAAAAGATCTGTTTAAAAAACAAACAAAAATACTTGATTTCAACTGAGAGGAAAGTTGGTGTGTTTTGATCCTGTGATTGTGCTCCAAGGCTTTCCTAGCTCTTTTATTAACGGTCCAAAAATAAGCAGGAATCAAGATGTTTTAGGGTGTACAAAAACAGTACACTGTGTTTCATGCATAGAAATCTTGCTTTCACTTCTTGTGCACAAATCACACATGCTTGGTAAGTACTCATATACGTTCTTTATGCACAGGAAAGAAAAAATCCAAATTCAAAACATTTAAGAAGTTCTTCGGGAAAAAGAAGAGAAAGGAATCCTCTCCTTCCACAGGAAGTAGCACCTGGAAACAAAGTCAAGCAAAGAGTGAGGTCATTGCCATCGAGTCAGGGCCAATGGGCTATGACTCAGAGGATGAGCTCGAGTAAGTTACCTTCTACAGCCTTTGGGCTTATGTGCCCAGTAAGCAGGAAGGGGCATGGTCCCTTCGTTTTGGTAATTTGCTGGATGTCTGAACCTACTCTTCTAGGTAATTCCATTGGAGGTTCTTCCATTGAAACTGTGTGTTCTGTCTTTCCATATAGGGATGGAGAAAGTTGGGGGAAGAAACATTATCAGGTACCTGCTATGTGCCAGGTGCTGTATAAATGAAAATTTACACTAACTCTGGGAGGGTGGGTAAGGTACACCATTTTATAAATGAGCAAACCAAGCTTTAGAGAAGTTGTGGAGAACTTGCCTGATGTCCCACAGCTGGAAGTGGCAAGATTAGCATATAAACCCTGGTTTAATGTGACTCAAAACTCTTTCAAGGACCTGGATATTACAGTGGAGAAATACACCTCACTAACCCTTAACTTTGAGTTGTCTAATGAGAAAATTTTCTATTACAGAAGGGGTTAAAGGGTGGGCTTCTTGCTGGCAGTATTAGAAAAATCATCCAAAAATATTGTTAGGAAGGACAGAGCCAATCAGGATGAAAATTTGGGGAAGTCTAGTGAAGAAATCCTTGTTCTTGTAATTTGTACTTTATCAAAATATGATTATAATACATATGATTATTCCAGTTTACTCATTTCTGTGAGTAAAAAGAAAAACAAAACAGACTTACTGTCATGCCAGTTTTTATATTTTCTTTTAAACAACGTTGGACCCTTAATTTGAGGATGAAACCAGCCCACGCTGCATGGGGTCACAGGCTTCAGCATCCCAATGATTTTACCTGTTGCCCCCCTCCACCCCCATTACGTCTCCTGGCCTGTTTTGAAAGGCGTAGAACTGACATTGACCACTTGGTGGCACCAAACGACTGCAGAGCAAAGATTCGAGTTTTTTCTTCGGTGCTAGCGGGGAGCCAGGGATGGAACCACAGGGCACCTTGTGAAGAGCAGAGGGTACAGGCTGCACATGTATTTTTCACGCCTCATGCTCCACTTGGGGAGCAAGGGATCATTTTGATGCTATTGCTAATTATTGCATGTCTTTACTGGGCCACCCACTCACCCCACCCATCTCCTGTCTCTAAACTGGAGCACCCAGGGATCCCTCCCACCACGGGACTGCAGCCTGGCAGGAGGGGTGAGCCAGGGTGCAAGGACCTGTCCATGTGTCCATCTCCTATCACCGGAGCCCATGGAAAGTGGAGTCAGTGTCCCTTTTATCTTTCTATTCCCAGCACCTAGCTGGAGCTTGGTCCTCAGTTACTGGGAAAAGTCTCCTGGAATAATGCTAGGAAAGGAAGCTCAGGGTGGGGTATGATGAGGTCCAGGAAGAGCAAATAATGTGTGTAGAGAGCCCACAGAGGATGAAATAGACCTTCTTTTCTCTCTTCAACTCTATTGAAAGACAGTTGACATATAACATTGTGGAAGTTTAAGGTGTACAACATGTTGATGTGATACACTTATGTATTCCAAAACGATTATCACCATAATGTCAGCTGACACATGCTTTATGTCACTTAATTACTGATTCTTGTGGTGAGAACATTGATGATCTACTCTCTTAGCAATTTTCAAATACATAATGCAGTATTATTAACTGTAATAACTGGGCTATACAAACGGTAGGTCCCCAGAATTTATTGATCTTGTAACTGCAAGTTTGTACACTTTGACCATTTTCCCCCATTTCCCCCACCCCCAGCCCCTGGTAACCACTAGTCTACTCTGTGTCTATGAGTTATTCTGCATGTAAGTGAGATCTTACAGTATTTGTCTTTCTGCCTACCTGATCTCACTTAGCATAATGCTCTCAAGGTTCATCCATGTTGTCACATATGGCAGGGGATCCTTTCCCATGACTAAATAATATACCACTGTATTTTTCTTTCTATCTATCTATCTATCTATCTATCTATCTATCTATCTATCTATCTCACATCTTATTTACCCATTCAGCCACTGATACCCTTAGGTTGTTTACATATTTTGACTATTGTGAATAATGCTGCAGTAAACATGAGGGTGCAGATAGCTCTTTGAAATCCTGTTTTCATTTCCTTTGGATATTATACACAGAGGTGGGATTGCTGGATCACATGGTAGTTCTATCTTTAATTCTTTGAGGAACTTTCATATTTTTCTCCATAGTCACTGCACCAATTTACATTCCCAATAACAGTGCAGAAAATTTCCCTTTTTTCCACATCCTTGCCAACACTTAGCTCTAATTGTTTTGATGATAGCCCAGAGGTGAGTTGGAGTCTCATTGTGGTTTTTATTTGCATTTCCTTGATGGTGAATGATGTTGAGCATATTTTCATGTACCTGTTGGCATTTGGATGGTCTTCTTTGGAAAAATGTCTGTTCAGTTCCTCTGCCTATTTTTTAATCAGGTTGTTTGAGTTATATGAGTCCTTTACAGATTTTGGATATTAACCCCTTATCAAACATTTGATTTGCAAATATTTTCTCCCATTCAGGAAGTTGCCTTTCATGTTGTTGACGGTTTCCTTTGCTGTGCAGAAGCTTTTTAATTTGATGTGGTTCCACTTGTTAATTTTTGCTTTTGTTGCCTTTGCTTTTTTTTGTCAAGTCCAAAATTTCATTTCCAATACTTATGTCCCATACCACCTATGTTTTCTTCTAGGAGCATTACAGTTTAAGGTCTTATGTTTAAGTCTTTAATCCATTTTGATTTTTGTGTATGGTATAATAAAATGGTCCAGTCCCATTCTTTTGCATGTGGCTTTCCAGCCTTCCCAATACCATTTATTGAACCCTTTCCCATTCCCTGTTGTGTATTCACACTGAAAGGAAGCAGGACCCTGTGAAGAAATGGCTGATCACAGGTTTCCCTGTGGTATATTTTTTGTGTATTTCCCTTCCCTGTTGTATTTTATTGGCTCCCTTGTGATAAATTAATTGACCATAAGACAGACAGTATCCTAAAGGCACTCTTCAACGTCTTTGAGAGTCTGTGCCTTCTAGATTCTGCAGTGACTTCTCATCCATCCATCTGTCACCACGGGCAGAAGAGCTCCACTTGCCAAGGCACATTATTGCCGGCAAGCCATTAAAAAGTTGATGCCCATTTATTGTGTCTCTGTGGTTTTGCTTCTTAAGTCTTTTTAATCTATAACAATTTTCCCTCCCCTTCCCCCTTTGTTTCATGTCATTGATCTGATGGAGGAAGAGGGTCATTTCCTCTACAGAATAGCCACATTCTGGATTAGCTTTCTCTTGGTATGATTAAACTCATTCATCTATTCTCTGAATTTTTTGCAAAATGTTAGATGGATCTACACATTAAATTTAGGTTCAAGATGGTATTGAGTACTTAGCGTCATATCGCATCACAAGGCACGTATTTTCTGGCTGTTCCACTTCTGGTGGTGTTAAAACTGACGAGTGGGTTCATGGGGTCTCTCTAGGGTGACCTCTCCACTAACGTTCACCTAATGGTTTTAGCACCCACTGATGACCATTGTCTAGGTCATGATTTCAATGAAAAATTGTGCTTTTCCAATTCTTTTGTTTATTCTGCATGTACTAGCTGGAATTCTTTTTTGAAGACCTTTCCTTCATCAACTCCTTGGTTGCTCTGATGTACAGTTTATTTAGGAAAGGCAGGATAATACTTAGTTCTCCTTTTATTGACCTACCTTCAGAGAAATGACCTGGTACCCTAGCAGTTTCCAATACTGACCAATGAGTGAGTTTTTCCATTTTTTCTTGGATATCATTGTGAATGTATGGACTTTTGTATATTTGATTTGCTTTAACCCATGATACTCTTTTCATTTTGGGGCTCACACACTCCCATCTTATGCTATTGGGAGTCACTTCAAATGAGCTCCTGTATTCTTTTGACATGGCCCAATTTATCTTTGAATAAATTCTTGCTTTCTTGCACAATGAGAAGTCCCAGGTTTATTTTGCACACTTCCTGCCCTAAACTTGTGATTGGCCACTTCTTCACAGGGTCCTGGTTCCTTTCAGTGTGAAATGGTTTTTAGGAACCACAGCCTGGCTGTCAATGGTTAGGATTGCTAGTTGGCTGTCACTGCACTTCCCAGTAACAACAGCTAGGAAATATTTTATTTTTTTGAGAAAAAAATAAATCATTAATTCATTTGAATTTTCAGTTCAAGTTTAGTAAGGCAGAATTTTTACTTCTTTGATTCTTTATTGAATTCATTTTTCTCTGATGCAGGAAATTTTTGTCCCTACTGGTATTAGCAAAATTATTTTCATCATCATATAATATATGTTTAATAATTTCATGATCCTTACTTTCCCACAGAGGTTACATATTATAAAGATTGTTCTGAACTGTTTTATTAAATCAATATAATTACCAATAAGACTGTAAGTACAATTTGATATCTTTGGGTTTTTTTGTTCTTAGAAATATCCTGCTGTAGTTACAGAGCCAAAAGTCATGTGGACGTTGAGTTAAAATCATTTACAACCATTCTTTTCTCTGTGTGGTTGTGCCAACAACCTGATATATAATTAGGCTTATTTGTTTCTGTTGTTTTCTAGTCTTAGAGACTGTTTTATTTCCCTTTTTGATTTTTGTCTTTGGAACTATGTAAAAACCTTTGTGTAGTTTCAAAGACAAAATTGTAATACAAGTAAGCACCTTGGCACCCTGTCTCCCATCTGGTTCTATCCTTCTGCCTAAGGGCAGCCATATTTATTCATCTTGTTGTTTATCCTTCTATTTTTATTTTTTTTAATAAGCAAATATACACATTCCCATATGTCCATATGTACCCTCCTTTCCCACAGAGCTAACACACCACAAACATTGTTTTGTTCTGCACTCTCCTTTATTTTTCACATAGTGTAGTTGGTGATGCCTGTATCTTGAGATCCTCCTCACCCGTTTGGTCAGCTACAGAGTCACCAGTCTATCGCACTCCACAGTTCATCCTGATGTCTATCCACTGAGGGGCATTTGGGCTGTTCCCAGTCTTCTAGAAATGTTGCTGTAGTGAACAGCTTTGAGCATATAGCATTTTCTGTTTTTGCCAATGTATCTTTGCCAGAGGCCTTTAAACGCGGTCTCAACTTCCAGTCGCAGCCAGAGTGGTGTTTGGGCAGCACTTGTGGCCTCCAAAGTGTATGGCTGTGGCTGCACACTGTAGGAGGGAACCCAGCATCGGTGTGATCTCTGGGACAAGAGCCACCATTGGCAGGAAAGGCCTGCCTGGTTCTTTTATTAGGCTTGATTCCTTCCCAGAAATGTGAGGACACACCCTTCGAGGAGCCAGAGGTCCCCACTTGCAAACTGACTATTACAGGTAGAAAGAAGTTAGAAAGCACCCACAACCAACACAGCTTGATCTGCAGTGAGAAGGGCCACATCCAGGAGGCCCTCACACCGCACAGAAGACAGGAGGCCCGGGGCGGGGTTGCAGGGGGGGGGGGTCATGGTACACAGGATGTCCAGCGTCTGTGTGGACAGGCTTTCTGTTCTTTGTTATAGGGTCTCAGCCGTCTCCTTCCACCTATTGTTCAGGCAGTCACCACTGCCAGGAAAATCTAACAGCAGCTCCCACATCCTCTTAGGACATTTGTGAGTGTCCTGTGTAGTCATTTCCAGATTGGAGCCTTGAGCTCAGGGCTGGGTAAGGGGCTGGGATGGTGGTGAGGGGAGGGCCTGCCATCTATGCTCCAGGTGCTGGGCGCACAGGTTGGATCGCATGGGTCGGCTCAGGTAAAGAAAAAACGGTTGGCGTGCAGGTTTCCAGCTCTCATTTCAAGCCCAGTAGTGGACGTGTGTTTCGGCCTCCTTGTGAGGCTGCCCCATCAGGCAGGCCCTCAGCCTGCTGTGCAGACTCAGCCTCCTGCTCACCAACGGGCTGTATGTTTGCCCACAAAGAATGACCTCACCTTCCTTGGGCATCCACAACGATATCCTACAGCCCTGCCAGCCAGCCCAGGCCTTCTGCCAGCCCTTCTTTTCTGCGAGCCTGCTGTTTTAGACCTCACACCTCATCAGACCTTGGTTTTTCCATTAATAAAAAGAATTCACACAGACTTCAGGTCTGCAAGGGAAATTCCTATCTCTACAGTGCTCTTAATAGCTGACTGCGTATTTGATGGGGGGAGATAAACTGAAATCAGAGGCAGTTAAAAAATAAATGCTGCCGAAGGCTTGTTGTATGATATGTCATCAGCCCACAGCCCCATTCACCTGAGCACCCCAGGTGACAGATGGCAGGAGCAGAGTTTCACAGTACGTCTTTTGTCCTAGGGAGTCGAGGGGTGCACTGGGCAGCCGGGCCCTCTCACATGACAGCATTTTCATTCCGGAGTCAGGACAGGACCCTGCTCGGCCTGTGCGGGTGTTTTCCCAAGAAAATGTGTGTGACCGGATTAAAGCTCTGCAGGTAAGCTTTCCCTTGGCAGTGGTACTCGGTATGTGTGTCAAAGATGAATTGAGGTTTTTAAGTTATTTTTGCTTGGTTTATTCAACACATGTTAAAGGATAATTGTATGTGCATCACAATTCTCCTGAGGCACACCATGTTAGTTACAACTGCATCTGGACTCATTCTACGTTATAACCACTCATTTTCAACATGAAAGCAAGAGAGCTGGTGGTGGACATTCTTTCAGTTCTGACTGCACCAGGCAGGGCATTGAAAGTCGCTCCTGAATGAATGACTGAATTGAAACAGGAAGATTTGTTGATACAGGTCAGAAAACAAGAGCAAATGTTCTTTATTCCAATCTAGTTAAAAATACAGTGTAATGTGAAAATGGGGCCACCACCTCCTCCAGGGAGCCTTCCTGTCAAACGAGGAGATGACGCTGGTATGAGTTCTGAGGACGATGGGCTGCCCAGGAGCCCCCCAGAGATGTCCTTGCTGCATGACATTGGTTCCAGCACAACCATAAAGGCAAGTGCAGCCTGTACCCCCAGCCCCCCAGCCCCCATCGCCCTCTGTGCGCCCACCACCATGGGCAGTCGGGGCTAGTGGCCCCTGCACGTTCCCCTAACGCCCCTGTGGGTGGGTGTGGCCATGCTCACTGCAGACAGGAGGCGCTCCAGAGCAGTTCGGGTCAGAGCGTCTCGTGTTTGGGCTCGGGCTGTGTTTACGCTCATTCTTTGAGCAGAAATTCGGGTTTGTCGGGAGATGTGGTTTTGGTGGCATTTTTCATGATGGTTATAGGTCTGATATGATCAACCCTATACCTTGTTTTTCCTGTCTGAGCAGATGACCAGCTGTTGTCTGTTTCCTGTTGTCATGACTCTTGGCTGGAGGAAGAAGGGAGCAGTAAACATGCATGAACCCACCTAGGCTCCCGCATCTGGGTTCAGGACCGTGAGAACCTGGTGGTGGAGGGGGAGAAATGTGAGGCTTGGTGCTCCTAAGCAGGGCCCCAGGGGAGGTGTCACAGGTGTGGCAGGCAGAAGAGGTGCTTGTGACCTGAGCATGGCAGGGGGTCTCATCCTAGATACCACCCTCCCCCATTAGAATCTGTGGAGCAGAACTGAGCTCTTCCTCACAGATAAACAGAGTAGCTCATGGTGCCACCAATTTAAGCCCCTACAGTGTACTTTGTACAAACGATCACTTTTCTCTGCAGATGAGCCTGTCTGAGGGGTGGATAGAGGTGGAGTTTTCCATGTTATGCTGACACTTGAAACCAGACAAAGGCTAGAGTCCATTTCCCATAGCCACACCCTGCGCCTTGGAGCAACACTTGTGCCCTGGCCTGGGGCCAGTCCTAGCGAGAGTTGGGGGTGTCACTGTGAATCACTGTCTCTCAGCAGATTCTGTACTGCTCTGAAATATGTCCTGTTGTCACTTCAGTTTAGACACCCAGAAGCCCCCCTGCAAAGGCAGGGAGAGGGAGGGCTACCAGTTTGTGTGCAGCTTGGGTGCCCAGAGCCCATGAATGCATGGCAGAGGAAGGGCTGGGGACACTGGGGGCAAATAAGCCCCAGGACTGGGGCTGCCCACAGGGTGGCTAGAGCATTACTCTCTTCAGGTGCACCTGTCCCTGTTTGCTCCACAAGCAAGTGGGCTACACACACCTGCTCTCCCACCTCAGGGAGGAGGAAGAGAAGGCAAAGAGGATGGCCTGGCCCATTTCCTAGACTCCAAGCCAACCCTGTACTCCTCCACACCTTAAACACCAGGGGGAGAGGTGACAGGATCATGGCTGCCAACAGTGTAATTAACCAAGTGACAGAAACATCTTTGCACCTCAGATGGGCAGCTTCAGGGTCTCCAGGCTCAGGATGTGATTTTGTATGTTTCCGGACCACGAGATGGGGAGATGCCTCCAGTGAGCCATCCTGCAGTTCTCTGGGACAGTACAGAACAGATGGTTTATAACCCTGCTCATCAGGGAGTGAACCCAGCTCCAAACCTGCAAAGCACCACAACGCACACCCCTCCCGTGGGAGCCCTAGTGGGACTATCACAGGCACAGGGCTGATCTCATCCTTCTCAACATCCCTACTATGGTGCTTATGTTATTTTTTTTTAATGTTCTGAGATTTTATCAATTACTGGGTAATATGAACACACCACTAGCTTCATAGGAAGCCAAAATTTGAGCTGCTAAGGCTTAAAAAAATAGATAACTTTATCATCATGGTTTTGAACACAATGATGAAATTTGTGCCCTGAAAGTTTTTTTGTGTACAGTGGGCCTATTCAGGGGGGAAACAATGCACCTTTTAAAATGTGTTTATGTAACACATGGCATTTGATACAGTGGAGCTTTAAATCCCACAAGGATGGGGCTGTGAACAGCTTAATTTTTTTTCTATTGTGATGCCTTACACAGGCCCATGTGCTTGGTAGAGAAACTTAATGAAGATTTGTGAAAACAAGGTCTTCAGTAATGTATATTTGATGCCATTGCCAAGGTGATATTTCCTGACATAGAATGAGTTTTTCAGGAAATACATGGAATTATTATTATTGTTAANTTTGTCACCAGTAGACTCACACTAAAGCAGATTCTAGGGGAAATCTGCCTTCCGGCAGAAGGAAGACCCTCCTAGCTGGAAGGTCCAGAACACAAGAAGGAATGAAGAGCAAAGAGAATGAGAAACAAGTGGATACATCTAAATGAATGTGGAATTGTATCTTCTGGGCTTTTTAAAGATCAGAATGAAAACACTAGTGCATAAAAATAGTATTGAAGTGTTCTAAATTCCTTGTTCTGTCCCATAATAGAATAGGTAGTATACTTTCTAGGGTAGTCACTGGAAGAACAGAGATTCAAGACCATGCTCATAAACTAGTAGTGAGAAAATAAGGCATAATTTTAAAAAGTCAGTTAATCCAAGACATGGCAAGAAAGGAGATTAAGAAAAAGCATATAAAATAGCAGACTTGTCCTTATTAACATACCGTTAGTACAGTAAATGCAAGTAGGCTAATTACATTAATTGTTCAGTGAGAAGTTAAAGACCATCAGACTGAATTTCTAAAACTAAATCTTAAGTGTAAGGATTCAGAAAAGTTTAAAAGAATAGAGGAGAGACAGAAAGACAGGACACGTCTATGAGAGAAAGGCACTGGTAAAAAAGAAAGAGAGAGAGAAAGCAAGCAAGCAGGAAGAATGGAAAGAGAGGCTAGGAAAACATGGACCTTGCCAACACTGAGCAAAAGGGAGCTGGTATAGCTGTGTTAATAGCTGTCAAGATAAAATTTAAGGCAAAAAGCGTTACTAAAAATAAAGAGGGCCATTGCACAAAAGGTTCAATTCCACAGCAAGATAACAATTGTACCTTACTATGCACCATCATAATGTCAAAAGTTATAGAGTAGAAATTGACAGGTAAATAGAATCTGCAGTCAGTGAGTTCTTTTTAATACATCTCTATCAGTGATTGATTGAACACATGTCTTTAAATATTAGTAAAGATACAAAGTGTTTGGATGACACAATTAAAAAGAAAAAGGCCTTGCTTGTCCTATTTGATGTCCTAATTATAGGACGTTAAAGAAAATACATTATTTTCAAGCACACTAGGAACAGTCACAGATTTTTGGTAAGCCATAAAGCAGGTCTCAACAAACCTGAATAGATACAAATCATACAGAGTATATTCTCTGACCACAGTGCCCTTCAGCTGGAAATCAATTACAGAAAGATAAGAAAATCCCCAAGTGCTTGGGAACTAAGACATACTTTTCTAAATAACCAATAGGTCTAAGAAGATACTATAATGGAAATTAGAAAATATTTTTGACCAAACAGTAATGAAAATACTATGTGTCAAAACATGTAATGCAGCTAAAATAGGGAAATTTATTGTCTTAAACGTGTATATTATAAAAACAAAAATCCTGAAAGTTAATAAGCTAAACAAGTATGCATCTCAAGAAGTTTAACAAGATAACAAAGTAAACCTGAAGAAAATGAAAGGAAGGAAAGAATAAAGATAAGAACAGAAATAAATACCTTGAAAAATAAACATTACGGTAGAGAGAATAAGGCAAAACTGGCCTCAGATGCAATAGATCAGGGAAAAAAGAGGAGGCACAAAGAATTCACATCAGGGCTGAGAAAGGGGGCTTTTATTACAGATAGTGTGGGTGCTGAAATCAGAGGATATTAGTATATGCCAGTAAACTTGAAAATTTGGAAAAAAGAGACAAAGTCCCAGAAAAACATAACAGGTTTAAGAGGTATAAAACCTAAGTAGTTCCTGTAAATAGTTCCTGTAACTATTAAATAAATTGAATTTTAAAGTCTAGCAGGTGAAAAAACATAACCCTAACAGGCCCCCAGGGGAGGCTGGCTCACCACTGAAGCCAATCAGAAGTGCTGGGAGGCTCAATTCCGGGTGTTTGTAGCCGCGCCCTTCAACCTGAAGCAGTGACTTGGTTAGTGAGGCTGCGTGTTTGTGCAGACCTTCAGGCTTGTGTACATGTTTGTCAACTAGGCAAAGGCCAGATGGTGTCCTGGCAAATGCAGAAAACTCCTAAGGCTCTCTCAAAATAATAAACACTCCTTGAGAATGATCAGTTAACGACATAAACATTTTGTGATTATAAAGGTGAGGAGCCTTCCACTCAAAGTTAAGAAAACTTGACTGTAAAACTGATTTCCCTTTGGGCAGGGATTGGCCCCACCTAAGGTAATGTAGGAACTCCAACTAGAGTAATCCTAAATAGTTCTCCACATTAAGGCAAGATCATATAAACTTCCCAAGGGGGTATTAATATAATCAAAATGTAAGGATCCTGTTGTTTTTTTAAAAAAGGAATTTGGCTTACAAAATTATTTGTAAAACTAACAAATCATTTTAGCAAATTTTCAGGATATATTAGCATCCTAACAATTTATGATGTTGCATCCTTCTATTATTAGTTTTCATGAAAATTTGGAAGAAAGGAATGAACAAACTTTGCTGGGCTGTTTGTGTGAAATCACGAGATCCTGCATATGACAGAATTTGTAGGTGAAGATGAAGGAGGCAGAGAAGAGATCACAAAATGTTTAAAGGAAGCATGGCAGAATCAAGCTCAGTGCTGTCCCCACCATTTGGTGGGTTTTCTCACTGAAAGTCCATCAAGGCGCTGGGCAGTCCAGCCAGTGCCTCTTGCCCATGAGGCTGGGACTCCCCTGATTGTCTTTGGTGCTCATGTCCATACTAAATGAAGCACTTGAGGATTATTTTGAAAAATAATTTGAGTTATCACATGGCCTTTACTGCATTAGGACTGTTGACTTTTTTGCTTTTGACTACATATATCTTAAGGATTAGAACTTGATCTCATTTATACAACGGAATGTTACTCATCAGTTTAAGAAAAGAAAAGCAACACATACTTATGCATGCATCATCATGCAAAATCACACAAAATCTCAAAGGCAGTATATGGAATGAAAGAAGCCAGAAGCAAGAATATATACTGTATGAATC